AATTCGTTTTAAAAAAAATTGGACTATTAGGAAACTCTCTTTTATCCCTAATTAAACTTTAGAATTAGGGGTGTAAGTCAGTTTGGAAAATTCAATTATAACCGATTTTGATCTGAATATTTCCAAAAAAAATCCGACTCTGATAAATAAGATATATGAAAATACCGAATCTGATATTTCCGTTAAATGAGACCCACACCATTCTCGAACAAGAAAGCTTGAGGCTTTGCAAGCATAGGCGAAAAGTCAAAACCAATTTCCAGTTTGAACCATTTTCAACTCACACAACCTAAACCATGAACCCGCCAAATGAAGACGACATGTCGTGCGATATTTGATTAAGCACTGGTCCATTAAAAATGAGACACATGGAAGGTAGCCAAGCTGTTCGATTCTTCATCCACTCAAATTTTTCTTAGCTTTCCCATTTCTATGACATGATGGTAATAACTGATGGGCATGAGGACAGGCACCATATATTTTTTTTTATTTGCAGATAATAATTTCCTGTTGAACTGAAAACTGATGTGGTATAGAACAATTGTGTCGGGCTTATAATTGTACCCTCTTTTGAAAAAAGAAAAATACAAGACTTAAAATAATAGATACGCCTCCATCGAAAATTCTACGGTGGACCTGGTGCATGAATTCGCCAGATCCTATTGAACGTTAGATTTCACTAAAATTTCATGGGCAAATCTACACCATTGAATGGGATAACCTGAAAACCTGCTAAGTAGGTTAAAAGAAAATTCTCAACCCGTCAAAACCTATGAAAATTCTACAGTGAACCTGGTGCATGGATGCACTAAGTCCTATTCACCGTTTAGGATTTAGGGTTTAGGGATGCCCAAATTTGAAATGGCTTCATAAATCTGAAGCTACTCTAATCAATAAGTATTACAAGCTGTAAACTTATAGCACCAATACAATGCATTTTTGTTTCTATTTTATTTGTAACTAGCCCCTTGGCAATTGGTTTTTCTTTTTTTCTTTTTTTTTTCTTTTTAGAATTAAGAAAAGATAACATGGGTACTTATGTTCCATAAAAGTAGAATCTATTATCTGATTTTGTTTTAAATTTTAATTTTTTTAATATGAAAAAAAAATGTGAATTTACCATATTATCCTCATTTAATTAATAATTTCAATTCTAAAGAAATAAAGTGTTTTTTTTTTGTCGCTACTCCCTTTAAGTCGTTTTTTCTCTTTTTCAGCTTTGCCTAATGGACTGAAAATCAGTGACATTGACCATCTTTATTAACTTAAAACCTTATCTTTATCCATTTTATCTAAAAATTGTTAATCCAGCTTTACTGTCTAACCCGTAAATAAATAAAAAATTGAGTTAATTTCAATTTATTATCTTGAATTTTTAACTAAATTGTTTGGTAATAACGGTCTTTTCAATTTGAACACTTGTACGTTTCAAAATTGTGATAATATAATTCTGTCATTAGACTGATTATCAAGAAGAATTAATTGTGATAATATAATTGTGTGTGTGTGTGTGCGTGTGTGTTCCTTTTATGTCCTTAAACTTGGGCTTCATTGATTTCTCATCCAAAACTATTTGAATGAAGAAAGCTGTCCCCTTCATGAGACTGGAATTGACCATGGCCTGCCATGACAATTGCGATGGCTTTTTCCCTGTTCTGTTTTAGGTTTCAAAATCTAAGAGAAACCCTGATGG